CCAAGATTTTCAGGTAATATTCGGCCAACCTCTGAAAGGAATTTAAAAAATTTTCTCCAAAAATACATGAGGGTTCTCTTAAGATGGATACCATCTAATAGTCTGTAAAGAAATTCTGAAAAGAAAAAATGAAGGGAGAAAAGTTCATAAAGAAGCAAAGTTAAAGCTTATCCGCTACAAGGTGAAACAGTAAGGCGGTATTAAAGAAGATTGGATGAAAACTTAAACGAGTGCGATACAATGGAGGAATAGTTTGTACAACTATAGAAGAAAGTGGAGTTTTTCAACTCGAGTTCAAAGTTTGAGTTGAAAAACACTTTCTTCTCAAGTTTTACATATAATTTATTCTAAAACTACAATCAAAATTGAAAAATTATCGTATGCAATAATGAATTTGGGCACATAGCCATCTAGATGCGGGCATGTTTAAATTTTAAATGCGATTATTCAGATTAACACAGCAATTGTTTTTACTTTCCTCACTAGAGAGGAAAATCATATTTTCTTCACCCTTTTTACAGACGAAAGTGGTTGTTTCTAAGGTAGTTTCAGAAAAACGTATATACACATTAAGAATACTATTAAGAAGGCGGCACTTGAAGCATTAGGAGAAATAGACGAAACAAGGAAAGAATATAAGGGAAGAACAACTATATACGGAAAGAGATTATCAAAAAAATGGAGATACGGAGAATAGGGAGGTAGAAAGGCTGTTAGTTAAAGCAAAAAACGAGAACTGGCAAAGAACATGTCAAAACGTCGACCAATACATCGGAGGGACAAGGAGTACGAAATCCTGAAAAGCCATAAAAGCGCTAAGAACAAATAACAAAAAAAGCAGGGAAGAGGAATGGGAAAGATATTACAAGGATATACTAACGGAAAAAAGGAACGAATTTATAGAACAAGGAGAAGAAAGTAGCGGAAGAAATAAAGGAAATTACACAAGCAGACGTTACTAGGGTAATAAAGTCAATTAAGAACAATAAATCACCAGGACCTGAATTGTTTAAGACGAATCAGAAAAATTAGTCCGCATGATCAGAAACATGTTCCAGCAAGTAATAAATGGTGAACAAATGCCCAACGATTGGAAACAAGCTTTTAACATCAATATTCAAGAAAGGCTACCAAAAAATGTATGAAAGAAATATGCGTAATAGCAACAATGGGAAGAATCACATATACAGTGATATTTATTTAGATGTAGACATAGGGATTTACATGTATCTATTGTTTTTTCCCTATGCCTACTTTTAAACGACAAAATCTCTACTGAAAGGCGCCTAATATAATTCTTCTAAAATCATTTTTTCAAAATAAATAAACATCTGGCTGTCATATTAATTAGTTTGAATATTGTTGCTTTGGATTAATAGAAAATAAATCTCTTATACGCTCCTTAAACTGGTACCGGCACTATACCAATTGACAATACCAACTTTTCCTTCGGTTGGATACATCGTACACGCACCAAATTAAAAATACGGAAGCCAAAGCAACAATATTCAAATTAATTAATGTGGCAGCCATATGTATTTGTAATAAGAAGTTATTTTGGTTTTACATTACAACAAAAACAAAAAATATGGCAATTCACTTACCATTAAACAGGAATGAAAACAACAAACAGTTTCGAAACAACCAAAGGTCTACTACAGGGTTGCTCCACATCACCGACTCTTTTTAAAATATATCTAGAGCACACCTTAAAAGTTTGGAAACGGAAATGTGATGGAATGGGAGTGCCAACAAGAAACGAGAACTTATACACAATTTTGCAGATGAGTGGTTATTGCCCAAGACGAAGAAGATCTTAGTTTTATGGTACGGAAGTAAAAGGAAGAGCATACAAAAGCAGGACTAAACATAAATTTTAACAAGACCGAATACCTGGTAACAGTAGACGAAAAAGAAGAAGGCATAGTAATAGATCAAAACGCGAAAATATGGGCAGTAGAAAAGTGTGAATATCTAGTAGACCCTAACCAAAAGTACAAGCACGCGGAAGAGGAAATAAAAAATAGCCTAGGAAAGACACGAAATTGTATAAGAGAACCACATCCAGTTATTGGAATAATAATAATAATAATGTTTATTGAGACATCACTCGAAACATAAAAGTGAGGATTTATGGCTCAAAGCATTATGGAATAAGCAACAGAAAATTGTGTGAGGTTAATTTAACACTAGAGCACATACTTTGTAACTGTCCACGATACAAAGATATACGGGACAACTTCGGGATATGCCCGATATGGGAAGGTAACTTTAACAGCGATGAACGGGGTCGAAGGGTGATAGGATTTTTCCAAAGTGTGGAAATGTTGCACAAACTGTGATATAATGGCTGTCTATTTAATTGTTATTTATTGTTGTCTGTCAGTTACCAACTTTGTCATATCGAAAATATTGTATTGTATGTGAGTCGACCTACCTGTATGTAATATTCTATTAGAACGAAGTCTGTGATATTTTGAGAAAATAGGCAAATGGCCATAGAAGCCGAAGCCTTAGGTGGGGTTTTAGTGGGTATACCCGAGTAAGGGAGAGCCCCACACTACTCCAGACCTTTCAACCTGGAGTGTGCATAAGGAGCATTTCCCCACCTACCAAAAAAAAAAAAATAAAAAATAAAAAAAATAAAAAAAAATAAACAAAAGAAACAAAAATAAAATAGCAGTGGTAGCAGTGGAATATTGGAGAAAGTGATGTGAAATGAGGAAATAAGACAGAATGAAAGTGCAAACAGACTGTTTCGTATAGTTGTGGACTGTAGATAAATTGAAGTATATAGAAAAATTGTAATTGGTTAACTTGTCTTTAATAGCTTCATTGACATCTTGCTCGCACGGGAGCTAACAAGTTATTATTACAAAATATGGTTTTCTACCTAAACCTAAACTACACAACAGGTAAAGCAACCGGTTTTAATGCCGATTCTGCTTGTGCGCGTAATTGCAGCAACATGCCGCCCGCCTTGAACTTACATACTAAATTAGTTCAACACAAAATGTAGTTCTTGTCCATTATTATTTAATTACACGGTAAAACACAAATTTTTGTTACCGAACGTTTCACAAAGTTGTCTTTCACCTTCACTGTGACCACTCTAACTTTGTTGTCGTTTCCTGGATGGGTGTCTGTTATTCGCGCCATAGGCCACTTGAATGGAGGAGTATTTTCTTCCTTTAATATAACTAAGTCGCCAACCTTAACTTCTTGATGTTTGTCACCTTGCCATTTCTTCCTCTGCTGAAGTTCATTGAGATACTCCTTATGCCACCGATTCCAAAAATGTTCAATCAAAACTTGCAGATGTTGATAGTGATTCAGTCGATTTATTTTTATGCCGGTTAAACTTCGTTCTGGTATTGCAGTCAATGTCTTGCCAATAAGAAAATGGCTTGGAGTAAGAGGGGTGGGATCAGTAGGATCATTGGATAAGGAACTTAAGGGACGACTATTTAAAATTGCCTCAATCTGTGTCAAGACAGTATAAAACTGTTCAAATACTAGTTTTGTGTCGTTCAAGACTCGTCTCAAATGATTTTTCATGCTCTTCACACCCGCTTCCCAAATGCCCCCAAAATGAGGTGAACGAGGTGGAATGAAGTGCCAACTAATTGACTCGTTGGCCATTGCATCAATAATAGGATTAGACTGTTCTTTTAAAAATGCACTTAAAATGTTATTGGCTCCTTTAAAATTAGTACCGTTATCGGAGTAAATATTTAATGGTTTGCCTCTGCGTGAAATAAATCTCTTTAAACAATTCAAAAAGGCTTCACTCGTAAGGTCAGTCACTAAATCGAGATGAATAGCCTTTGTAGATAGGCAAACAAATACGCAGACGTAACATTTTATCAATTTACAACCTCTGGTTTTTTTGTCCTTTATAAGAAATGGACCCGCATAGTCCACGCCAGTATTATGAAATGGCGAATATTGATTAACGCGCATTTCCGGTAAATCACCCATTATTGGTTCTTGCGTCGTAGGGCTATGTCTAAAACATAATGTGCATTGGCGAATTACTTTTTTTGCATTATTTCGACCTGCTAAGGGCCAATAATTCTCTCTAATTGCAAATAATAGTTGTTGAACTCCACAATGCATTAATCGCTTATGTACCTTTGTCATTATTAAAATAGTGAGATTGTGTCCTTTTGGTAAAATAATTGGATGCTTTTGATTACTGTTTAATTGAGCATTTCGCAATCTACCTCCTACTCTAATCAGACCCTTTTGATCAATATATGGATTTAACGATAATAAATTGCTTCTCCTGGACAATTGTTGGTTCTTTTCCAATTTGAAATAGTCCTCGCGGAAAGAATCTTTTTGGCATAATAAAACTAGCCTATTTAATGATAGTTGTAGCTCATCTACTGATAATGGTCCTAATTCTTTTTGTTTCGGGTATTTACAATTTCTAAAAAATCGGAAACAGTATGCAACCACTCGTTGCAATCTATCAATTGACGAATACCTCGCGGTTACGTCATCATATGGTATTGCATCTACTAAGCACGTTGTACGCTGCTCTGGTAAAACATGATCAGAATATTTTAGGGGTGATTGTGGAATTTGCTTATCTAAAGTCAAAAAATGTGGACCGTGCCACCAAAGAGTTGAATTTATCAAATTTTTAGGAAAGACACCCCGAGATAGAAAATCTGCTGGGTTTTCTCCAGAGGGTATGTGATACCACTGATCTGGTTCTGTATGCTCCTGAATTTCACTTACGCGATTAGCAATGAACGTTTTCCATCTATTAGGAGGTCCATTAATCCAACCTAACGTTATAGTGCTGTCAGTATAGTAACATATATTTGATATATTTAATGTAAGCGCGCAACGCACCTTTTTTATTAAATTGACTAATAAAACCGCTGCGCAAAGTTCCAATCTCGGCAATGAGATCTGCTTGAGAGGTGCAACTCTTGACTTGGCGCATAGTAAATTGCAATGATAATTATTATGCTTATCTCGGCTTTTTACATAAATAAACCGTATGCCTTTTCAGATGCATCCGCAAATCCGTGCATTTCTATAGATAATGCATCGGGAATTACTACGTGTCTGGCAATATTTAAAGTATTAAGGACTGACAACTCGGATCTGAATTTAACCCAATCTGTTGAAATCGAATTCGGAATAGGTTGATCCCATTCTAGCTTTAATTGCCATAGTTTTTGTATAATAATTTTGCTTATGATTATGATGGGACCTAGCAATCCTAAAGGGTCAAATATTTGACATGTAGTCGATAATATGGTTCTTTTAGAAATTTGATTATTTAAATTGTCGTTGATCGAAAATTGAATTGAATCATTACATGCGTTCCATAGCATTCCTAGGGTTTTATTACACTCGTTTTCACCTAATTGCAGTATGTTTGCTTCTAACTTATGATTTGTGCGAAATTGATCATAGGAATTTGGATTATTTGACAGCCATTGTCGAAGTTCAAAACCGTACCTGGCCAATATATCGTAAGTATCGTTTTGAATGGAAATTAATTCATTAAGATTGTCGCTACCGGTTAATAAATCATCCATATAGAAATCATTGGAGATAATATCACTAATTTGGGGAAAACTTGATTTAATTTCCGTAGCTACTTGACGTAACGATCGCATTGCTAGAAACGGAGCCGACGATGTTCCGTATGTAACAGTATTTAATTTATAGCATTTTATTGCTTCATTCGTATTAAAACGCCAAAATATTTTTTGAAAACGTCTATGATCATGATTTACTAAAATATTACGGTACATTTTCGAAATGTCCGCCGTGATTACATATGTATATTGTCGAAATCGAAGTAGAATTGCCATAAGATCATTCTGTAAGTTTGGACCGGTGTATTGGACATCGTTTAAAGAATAGCCAGAGGTTGTTTTTGCAGAAGCATCAAAAACAACTCTAAGTTTAGTGGTGATACTATTGTTTTTTATAATCGGATGATGCGGTAAGTAATACCCTTGCTTCTCTACTACAGTATCGTCGAATTCAGACATATGACCTAAATTGAGATAATCTTGCATAAATTGATGATATTGAATTTTCAATTCTTGATTCAACTCAAGTTTCCTTTCCATTGCTCGGAACCTACTTAAAGCAATTTGTCTAGAATCACCTAACAACTCTAAATTATCATTGAATGGAATATTTACAACAAACTTTCCGGACTTATCGTTCCGCCTATGTGTTTTAGAAAAATGTTGCTCGCAATGCTTTTCCGAAATTGACAAATGGTTTTTAACACTACTGCATTCTTCAAGATTCCAAAACTTGCTTATTAAATCGTCTAAATTGTGTTCTATATTTGTACAAATAGTTATCTCTTGCGTTAAATTGTTTTTAATTGCTTTAGAATCATTGGTGATGTTACCTCCCACGATCCATCCTAATTTCGTATCTTGTAAGACAGGGTTATCGCGACCTAACTTTATGGTATTTTTGTTAATGATTTCCCAAAATATAGCGGCACCTAATAAAATGTCTATTGGACCAGTTTCATTAAATTTTTCATCGGCTAGTGTAACATCACTAGGTATATTAAGGTGTCTTTTATTAAATGATTGTTTCGGCAGTTTTTCCGTAATTTTATTGATGACTAAACATTTCACTTGAGTATGGTATTGTTTATTTATCGATGTAATAGAAATAGTAACTTGATTTGATATTGATTGTAATGATTGACCTACTCCACTAATTGCAAAATTTACCTTTTGTTTTTCTAAGCCTAATTGATCGCATACCTTCTTTGTTACAAAATTACTCTGTGAGCCATTGTCCAGTAGGGCCCGGAATTTATGTAAATAGCCGTGCTTATCGGGTACAAACACTAATGCGGTTGACAATAGAATAAGGTCATTAGTTTTAATGGAATGCATTGTAATTGCTGTCTCATTATTCGAAGAAGTTGATTGATGGGTTATATCTCTATTGTCTTCCAAATCTAAAGATAAATCCTCTAAATGGAGAAGAGAATTATGTCTTTTATTACAAGTACGACAATTTGAAGATTTACAAATGCGTTCTGAATGATTTGCTGATAAACAGTTCATGCACAATCCTCTTTTCTTTATAGCTGAAATTCTGGCATTAGGAGACATATTTAAAAATTCAGGACATTTATAAATGACATGGTCTTTTTTACAGTAAAAACATTGACATGATTTTTTAACATTACTTAAATGCACAGTTGAAGTATTTTTACCTTTATAAAAATTGGAATAATTTGGCTTTAGATCATTAATATCTTTATTGAATTGAACTTTCTCTAGTAATTTACCCTATTATCTAAAAATTCACTCATTTCTCGCCTAGTTGGAAATTCATTTTCGAACCGCTGTGATTCTGATTCCCATTCCCGTAATGTGACCAAATCTAATTTTGAAGTAATTAAATAGGTAGATCATAATATCGTCCCACTTATCGCTATCTCGCCCTAACACCTTTATACTTCGTAGATTTTTATTAATTGTATCGTAGAGGTTTCGCAATTCTGAATGTGACTCTCTGTTGATCTTTTTAATTTCAAAAATGCCTTTTAATAAGTTATGAACGATAAGTCGTTTATTTTCAAAGCGCTCCGTAACAAGCTTCCATGCAATAAGATAATTGTCGGCGCATACCTCAATAGAATCTATAAGACGCGCGGCATCTCCTTCCAAAGATGACTTCAGGTAATAGAATTTTTGAATGTTTGAAAGATCAATATTATCGTGAATAATGGATTTGAATGCATCGTGGAATTCGAGCCATTTATCGTAATTGCCCTTGAAAGACGGAAGTTTAATAGTGGGAAGTTTTACGGAACTTACATTGTACCCATTTGAATTGAAGGTGGTATTTGAATTGAACGAAAAACCAGAGTGTTGGCGATTGTAAGATGTTACAAGGTTTTTAATTTTTGAAATAATAGAAAAATAATCATTTTCAAAACTCTCGCGTTCATCTAATTCTACCAATTGTTGCTCTTCATTCACACACTCTGCCTCAATAGAACTTTGTATTGTATTAAATGTGCTCCAATGGGGTTCAAATTTTTCTAACCTGAGCTGTAATTCACTTATCGTGCTACTAGAAATATTGTTATGATCTAATTTATTAAAGTAATCGTTGAGACGAGTCAATTGAGCCTTTAAAATACCTCGTTGCTGTTTTAAGGTCATTTCGAAAATTGAAAGCAAAACACAGATCGTACAAATTTAAATAGAATAATAATTGATAAGGATTGACTTACGGTTAATTAGGATAGATTGTCGACTTCCGCGCTGAACCTGGCTTTTTCTGCGGGTACTGCAATGGCCGGAGTCTTCACTAATTGTTATGTAAACGTCGAATGCTGAGCTAAATACCGCGCTGAACCCAAATTGTCTTGTAGGAACTGCAATGGCCGGTGTTCACTCACGAATTTATAGATTGTCATTCATTTACACTTTTTATTAATTTGCTCGATGGACCAAAATGTTTCGTATAGTTGTGGACTGTAGATAAATTGAAGTATATAGAAAAATTGTAATTGGTTAACTTGTCTTTAATAGCTTCATTGACATCTTGCTCGCACGGGAGCTAACAAGTTATTATTACAAAATATGGTTTTCTACCTAAACCTAAACTACACAACAGGTAAAGCAACCGGTTTTAATGCCGATTCTGCTTGTGCGCGTAATTGCAGCAACACAGACACTTTGACATTCATAGAGGAGAAAAGACTCCTATGGTATGGACAGATTGGAGCCCTATAGGTAGAAGGAAAGAGAAAACCTAGAAGATCGTGGAGATATAAAGTGGATGAAGCAATGGAGAAGAAATCATTGGTAATGGAGAATGGTACAACAAAACAGAATAAAGATGATGACAGCCGTAATAAAATCGGAAAGGACGTACCCATTATCGTGGTCAGTAGCATTACGAGATTCGATTCTCAAAATATTACTGAATTACTCTCAAAATAGAAAGTACTTCAAAAAAACTTCCCTTGTTTTTATCTACCCAGTATTAATCAATAGCAACACAACCAACCGTTCCATCCGTTTCCATATTTCCGTAAACAGGAATGAGAATGACGTAGGCAAGATCGAAACCAAAATCAACAGGGTTGTTACGAAGGGAACAATGAACCGTAACGTCAATTTTGTGTTTGTGTAGTGCACTTCGTCATTTTATTGTACACGTATAGGTACACGTATCGTTTTGTAGAAATTCAATGTAGCGAGCAAACAATAAATTCCATAAATCAGATCTGCGGTTTGTAGGATAGAATTCTAACGTCCGTAACATATTTTACCCTTCAACGGCTTTTGTGGCCTAAGAAATGCGATTTGTTGTGGATTCAATGTAATTGTATGGCGCACAATGGACATCGTATAACCGAACTATCCGCGGGGATTGATTAAAATCAATTTCCAGTCAACCAACTAATAAGAGGGCGGTTTGTTCCTCGACAATCGGCACAGGTTTGCGTAATAAAACGTAATGCACTTACTGTAAGTGGCGGCGGCGACGCGACGCGTCATAAAATTTTAAAATCACACTCGCAGCAATGGCACCGTAAATTCCATAAAACGCAAGAGTTTCGACGATACTCGACGAAAAGATACACTGCAGAAGAAGATATTAATTGGGTTAGTGCAGACGTTTCGGTAGTAGTTTTCGCATATTTTCCTTTGTTGATGTTTTCCGCGATGTTTGTATTTACCACTCCGAATTCGGATAGGAGCGCGATAAGATCGACTGCGAAAATTCGAGCGATCGCCTTTTTATATCGCTCTGGTTGTTTATTTGGCACACAAAACAAATTGAAATTGCAACAATTCTCATTCCTTCGGCGCTAAGACAACGAGATTATTTACATCTTTATAACAACGATCTCTACAGTGTAAATAACAGGACTAGGTCAATCGAATCATGAACGAAGCTTGTCGAGTGCAAGGATTTGCAAACACGACATTTTCGACTTCATTAATCGATTTATGGGTTACCTTTTTTTACCCTCGGTTCAACTGCAATTAGCATAAACGCAACACTCTAGCAGTCAGGAGAGTTTGAGTTACTTTAAAGTTCAATAATAATCTGTCATTTTTATTTTAAATAGGATGCGGAGCCCGATATAAAATGTCATTCAGAACATTAGACAATGATGTTTATACGGAAACGACTGCGACGGCAGAACCTAAACTATTTTTGACGTCTAAATTGAATTCAGAATTGTCATAGACCAAGAGATCTGATACATCTACCTGCAATCGCTGTAGTAAAAATTTGCGAATCTTTAGATCATAAGCTGGTGTATTCGCAGCAAATCCGCCAATACAGGACGCCCCTTTACGTAGGCGAATTCAAAGTAAAACTTTGGAAGAAATTTAATTCCTTCCAAACCCACTTTCATGTTGCAGGCATCTAATACTAAAGTTGAACGAAGTAGAGAAATTTGCAATACCGCAAGCGTTGTCAGTGTCAGTTCTACGCACCAAAATTAATAAGAAAAAGTGTTTTCCTGAGAAATGTTGGTGCAGTCGATTTTTGGTAAAAAAGGAAGGTTGTACACTGCCTTTTTTTGAGGCCCGAAGAAAAAATTGTCTCAGATCGACCCGGAAAAAATTTTATTTTATAGAATGTGGCCTGTAGAATCCATAATTTCAAACAGTTTGAAGATTGGGCTAGTAGTTCAAAAGTTACGGCCCTTTGAATTTTCTTTCGAAATTGGTTTCTAGTCTATAACTTTTGATTGAGAAGTCTAATCGAAAAAGTACGAATTGTTTTGGATTCTACGCACCAAAATTAAAAAGAAAAAGTGTTTTCCCGAGAAATTTTGGTGCAGTCGATTTTTGGTAAAAAAGGAAGGTAATACACTGCCTTTTTTTGAGGCGTGAAAAGAAAATTGTCTCAGATCGACCCGGAAAAAACATTTTCTTATAGATTTCCCCTGTAGAATCCATAATTTCAAACAGTTCCAAGATTGCGCTACTAGTTCAAAAGTTACGGCCCTTTGAATTTTCTTTCGAAATTGGTTTCTAGCTTTAACGTTCAATAATAATCTGTCATTTTTATTTAAAATAGGATGCGGAGCCCGATATAAAATGTCATTCAGAACATTAGACAATGATGTTTCTATGGAAACGACTGCGACGGCAGAACCTAAACTATTTCTGACGCCTAAATTGAATTCAGAATTGTCATAGACCAAGAGCTCGCGTATAAAAAACCGCATGTCACGACAAAATATACATCTGATAGATCTACCTGCAATCGCTGTAGTAAAAATTTACGAATCTTTAGATCATAAGCTGGTGTATTCGCAGCAAATCCGCCAATACAGGACGCCCCTTTACGTAGGCGAATTCAAAGTAAAACTTTGGAAGAAATTTAATTCCTTCCAAACCCACTTTCATGTTGCAGGCATCTAATACTAAAGTTGAGCGAAGTAGAGAAATTTGCAATACCGCAAGCATGTCACTCATGCATCAATCGTTCGTGATACGCCTTCGTAATTTACGGGATTGGCAAACCGTGCATGTAGGTGAATATGTTCCGTCAATAGTTAATGAAGCCGTAATAGAGTGATTGACAGTTTCAATGCCTTCACGTGCTTAAATTATGCGCGTCTTATTTTGCACTACCTGCCGATACGTCGAGTGACTGCACTGGCACCTTCCCTTGTTTTACTAATAAGCATGTCTGCAGGAAGTCATTTAAATGAGACGATTCCGAACACCAGGTACGCGAATTCCGCAAATTTCGAACGTGAGTGGAAATGTCAGCTTCGTGTAGTTTGCCGGAGTGGAAAAGGAATGTGATTGGATTTTATATATACGATCAGTGGTACCCACCTACATGCGTGCTTACAAAATTTCAACTATTTATACTAGTAGGTAGTTGAATTTCTTGAATATTCAATTTTACACCCCATTTCGCTTAGTCTAATAACAATAACACCGGCGATAACGCATACCTTGAGACCCTTCTATGTGTAAGTTGAATACAACCCTATAATTAAATCCTTCTATGCATTAAAAGTTGGAATCTCAACATTGATAACTGATAAGGGTGGTATTTGAAATCCTTTTGCATCAGTTGAACACTAACTGTAAAATGTGTTCAAAGTTCA